GCCAAGTACGCGTCGGGCCTGGCACCTCTTTGCGACCCCTCGCAGCAGCCGTGCGCTCTGTTTGTCTGGCAAAAGTAAAAGTTTTGGCATTTAATTTCACAATTTATTTTAATTTGCAGCAAGTGAGTGACTGCCTTATGCCACATGCCAAACGGTTCGTGGCTCGTGCCACGCTGCCGTCCTTCAATTAGCGCGAGGCGTGAAGACTGCTGCAAAATAATGTAGCATGCAATTAGGCGACGCATTCAGCAAAATGGCAAAATGGCAACGGAAGCTGCGAGGAAGTGGCCAGCGCTTGAGGACAATTCCCTAGCGATGCATGCATCATGGTGGCAAATGCAAAAGTCGCGTCCCAGGCGCAACACGGTGCGTATGATTGATGGTTGGTAAGTGTGTGCCTCAGCGAGTGTGTATGTGTGTGTGAGAGAGAGAGTGCCTCTTGTGCTGCAGACGCCGCAAATGTAATTTGTGCGACTCTTTGGGGAGCTGTCGCCGACTTTGACTGATGACAAACTTTGCATAGTTCGAGATTAAAGCAGAAAGTTAAAGGCAATCGCCGGCATCGCCGGGCGGCCGGCATCGATCTTCATTTTCATGGAATTCAATCAAGTTTTTCCATTTGGCTGGCAAATTGAAAACATATGTTTCCACACATCCGCATATAAAGAAAGCATTTTCCTCGTACAAAGTTAAAACAAACGCTGCCATAAAACAAACAGACTTGAGGCAGAGCAGCTGGCAAACACGGAAAGAAAAGCTACTTAAAAATGTTGCACACGTACAGCCAATTGTGAGCTGGCCAAGACAGCGTACACACACCCACACAAACACACATACACACACAGGCTGAGAGTCAACAACTTTGCCGACAACGTCGCCAAATTCCCCAGAGCCGAACTGAAGGCAACTTCATCAGGCGCCGAGCTTGAGCTTCCTCCTTGTCATCATCAGCCTCATCATTATCATCATCATCATGGCGGATGATGATAATGATGAGTTTCATCAGGAGCTACATGTCTGAGGCTTTGCTCTGCCTCCCTACATACACACACACACACACACACACTCGCACATGGCGCCAAGCTCTACTAAATTTCACGCAATCACGACTCCACACACACACGCACGCACACATGCTCAATGTTGTATGGTCTGTGTGTTTGCTGACAGCCTAATAAAATATTTAGTTGGTGCTCATTGACAAGTTTGCAGACACTGACAAGGTCCTGCCTCGTCCTCGTCGTCGTCGTCGTCGTCGTCTTCCTCTTTAACTTGGCAGTGGCTTTGTGGTCTCTTTATGCCCGTGTCTGACATTTGTGGCAGGTGTCATTCACTCGCTTAGCTAATCATTTACATGCAGCCAGGATAACAGAATATAAGCCGTTATTCCTGCTGCTGTTGTTGCTTGTTTTTATGTCTGCCACATCAATTCTATTAAACGCTCGTAAAAAATGCCGCTTTTTTGCGGCAATCATGCAAAATGCAAAACCAATATTTAAAAGGCCATCAAATCAAACAAAATGAAACAATGTGTGTGCGTGTGTGTGTGGGTCAAATAAATAAACCGAAGCTCACGCTTAGCATCCCTTTTGTTATATATGTGTTAGTATAAACAACGTGTAATATCTCATCAAGTGTTACGCTTTACGACTACTTAAAAACACATAAAAAATGCCAAACAAAATCAACGCTGAAAGCCATAAATTCTTGTGCCTAGAAATGAAAAACCAGTGAAGCGAAGTTTGGGCCACGACCAGAGCAGCAGCAGAAGCTGAACGAGGGCCAGAAAAACCGAAAGCAAATCGTAAAAGCGAAACAAAAAAAACACCAGCAGCAACAACAACAGCAACCGCATCCCTCAAAAAAAAAACAGATTTAATGATGCAGCATGATTTGCGCATAAAAAAAAAAGAAAAAGATATATATATAGTGTGTGGATACAGTAAGAGGGAGAGAGAGAGGGAGAGGGGCAGAGCATTGCATAGACAGCAAGCAGGACGAAGGACTCCGAGATGGAAACTGACAGCCATTGGCAACTGGTCGCTGCCCCGCTTTGATAAACTGCACTCACATACACATACGCTTACACATTCACTCCTCACCTCCGCCGAGCGGAAGGCCCTGGCAACAGCAACTGCGTGTCAAAATGAAAGTTAAGCGAGAAAGGGTGAATAACCTGAAGTTCATATAGATACAAATACACTCAGAAAAATCAAGCAACGCCATAATTTTCTTGATTTCATTGCCATAGTCGAGAGTTGCAGAACTGTGTTCATATAAAAATGTTAATTTATGCTTAATTATGTGAATTTACAGCACTGACAACTAACAGAATATGTAAGCGGGCATTCAAAGTGCTTCTTAACATAACAGAGAATGCATGGATACAAAGAGCGCACATAGCATTTGCTAAATTGAGAGCAGCGAATACAAAATAATATGAAGAAAATCAAAAACAATTACGGTTTTTGTTTTTGCGCTTACCTCATGTTCAGGTCAAAGCAGCAACAGCTCGAACAGCAGACGCAAGCAAATACAATTGTTGCTATCTTCTTCTGGCTCTCTTTACTTTTTTTTTAGCGTCAACAAACAACAGCTTTACTCTTCACTCTTTACAAAATAACGCAATGAAATTTAACATATTTCTCTTTTGCTTTTATATGCCTTTTGACTACGCAGTCATAAACTGATAAATTCTCGTATTTTATTTGTTTTCGTATTACACTTTACTTTGTTAGCACTCGCGAAAAAATATTTTTAAATTGTCTAATCATATGCAATAATTAGTTACTCAATTATTTTCATTTATTAAACACATTGCCAATTATTACGCATTTAATAGCTACGGGACTGCGTGTGCGCTCACTGATCAGCATAGACTCTGTTAATGCTAACAGAATAACCGCTGCAGCATCAGCTCGCTGTTAACAGACTGAAAATTCCAATCAATCAATGTAGCTAACATTTTTAATGGCAAAAGCATAAAATATGGAAAATGAAATAATATAACATTCATGCATAATTTGTGACGAAAAGCAAGACAGATATATTTCCCTGCACTTACTTTAACTTGTGGTCTTCTATCAAATTTTTTTTTTTTTTTTTTATTTATTTTTATTTGGTTTATTAAGTGTAGAAGCTGTACAATCACATATAGTACTTTAACAACACATATATATATACATAAAATTAGAGCCAAACCACACTCAATTTGTGAGGACTGAGAAAAAAGAAAAATAATAATAATATTTACATTGTAGCTTTGATGAAGAACTATCCATATTTCTAAAGAAAAAAAAATATTAGGATTTTGATGATCTACTTCCCAACATTGAAAATAATATTTAGACTGGATTGCAAAGAAATATATATCCCCATAAACGGAGTTTCGTTTCACTGCACTGAGTAACTGCTTCCATTAAAAAGCAGTTATTATAGAAAATTTTGATAAATCTCTGTACTTTGCGTTTCAGATTTCGCCATCATAACAAATTAGCTCAGAAACATACTTGATTCTCATATATAAAGAGGGACTTCAGCTTTATTGATTTAGAGATTAGGATTATAGAAATCAAAAAGAAAACCATATTCTTCAAAGTTATGCGCCTTAGAAATATTTAGTATTTCGGCGCTAAGTCCTCTGTAAACATGAAGTAAACGTTGGTTATGAACGTTGGACTCCCATCTAATATCCAAGTCATGCCCAATAGATATTCGCCAGTTGGTAATGTATGCGGTAGGGCCGTCCATTTCAGGTAAAACCCATCAATAACTTGAGTTCCCTGCTCAAAAAAAGAAAAGAAAACAAATTGATGCCATCATTAAGTCACGATTCTGGATTAGGATACTTGCATTGTAGGGACAGGTATGGTTAAAATTGGAGAATTCGAGAAAGAGTTTACCCAGCAGTATAGCAAACGGGTGAAATGGCCGCTTAAGGAAGCGGCACGCGTCGACAGTGGCATTTACCAACCAAGGCTTGTAGCCATTGGCCTTTTGGAACAGTTCGGCGCGATAATGAATTTTATAGGCTGGGTGTAAGAAAGTTGCATTAAAGTTGAACGTTGTCTTATTTCGGCTGATGGCTCGAACTCTGCATTTGTGAATAACAACCCACGACTCGTTATAGCTCTTACAAACAGCGTTTGTCATCTTAAACATAACAGCTTCCTTTTTTTTTTTTTTAAAACACATCTGGCTTAAAGAACAAACGGATTTTTTTTTTTTTTTTTTTTTTTTTTTCATTATACTGCAACCTACATTGTAACTCAGTTTAAGAGCAATCCAAAGCTGAAGAATTCCACAAACTATGAGAACAGTGCGCATCGTGATGATTCTCGTATAAAATGTAACTTAGTAATGTATTTATGAATTCAGTAACAAATACATTTAGGACTTGGAAGCTATTTTCGCTTCAGTTCCCACAAAAATAATTACAATTATTTTTGTATAGTTGTGGCAATATATATACAAATTTTTGTCTAATTATGCAAATGGTTGTTATATATTTTTGTATTTTAGCAAATCATTTGTAATTAACAGAATTTACGGCACTCCCAGAATTTGCGCTAAGTCAAATTAATCCGAGCGATTGAGAAAACGACTATTTCGGGTTTTCTAAACGAGAGAGAGAGAGAGATACAGAGGGAGATAGAAATCTCCATCTCACGTTGGCCACTTGAACAGAGTCGTTATGCCTGCCAATTGATGCAGGGATCACATTGTTGGGATGAAGGATCACTCTGGAAACTTGTTTTACAATTGGCATATAGGCTGGCCCGACATATTCATAACAAACATGTTCCTTGTGAATTATATTAAGTAATAAAAAAATTGAGCAGATCATTTTCAATTATAAGCAGATGTTCTGCTTGACTACATCGACTAAAAACATTTTTGACAAATAGTTAAATTACTAAAACCCACTCAAACGTATCAATTTCATAGATTCATTAGATTTTACATTGTATATACAGACGACTTTAATACAAATCGAACATTTAAGTATCCGCCTTTATGTCTTCTATGAACTTAAAGTAAATGTTTGTTATAAACTGTGGCTTCCAATCAAAATGCCAAGTTAGGCTCAAAAGATATTCGCCGGTCGGCATACCATGCGGCAGAGATTTATATCTGAGGTAAAATCCATCGACGATTTGTGGGCCCTATTTGAAGAAAATGAGCTGGCTTTAAAGCTTATTCAGTTGTAAATACATACCAGATAAGGACACGTGTGGTTAAAATTGGAGAATTCTAAAAAGAGTTTTGCTATGGTTATTGCCACTGGATTAAAGGGTTTCTTCAGAAAACGGCAGACATCAACTGTCGTATTAATGAGCCATGGTTTGTAGCCATTGGCCTTTTGAAAGATTTCAAGTCGGGTATGAATTTTATACGCAGGATGCAGAATAGTTCCATTCAAATACATGCAAGTCCTGTTACGACTGACGGCCCGGAGTCTGCATTTATGAAAGACCATCCATGACTTATTGAGAGTCTCGCAAACCAGATTTGTCATCTTGAACTCAACAGCCTCAGCTTCCTATTTAGAAATATATGAAATAATTTATTTGCTTTAATTTCTTGCTGATTCCAACTCACATGGTAACTGTGCTTGAGAGTTATCCAGAGCTGAATAATAGCACAAGCAATAAGAAGGATCCGCAAAGCCATTGTACTCGAATGACACTCTAGTGTGGAATAGTTGTGGAAGTATGTGTACAAATGTATCTTAAGCGATATTTCCACATCACAGAGCTATTAATATCAAATAGATCTCGATGTTGAGTGTTCAATTAATGATACTATTACCCTAATTAAATGACAAATTACAATTCAGGGTATTATGTTTTTGTCAATATATTTGTAACAGTCAGAAATTGTGGTATATATGTTCTTGATCAGACTGATGTAATAAAATATTATCATATCAGTCTGGACATACATTTAACAATCGTCCGCCTGAATAGAAAACGAAAACGAATGCCTAAGCTATACCATGAAACTGCTTAGATTAGAATACTATATCTTGGCTTCCAAGACAAAATTTCATAAGCATCCAAATACATTGATACAAAAAATAAATACTATTCTCTCTTGATTTTTAAGTAAACATAAGCCAATCCCATTTTTTAGAGCAGTCGGCCCCAATTATAGTGACTCAAGTGTTCGGTTTCAAAACAAGATCGCATATACAGAGATACATATTAATCATTCTGGTTGAATACACCAACTAATAACATTTTTTGGAATCGTTTAATCATTATATTCGGCATAATTTTGACATTAGATATAAAAGAAAAAAAATGTATATATAAAGTTACGACATCCCTGGCAAATGAACCACGAAGTCGTTCGGAACGAACGCAAGCTTCGATCTAGATTATGAGCCTTTTGCAGAAGTAAGAAATAATAATTAAAATCAATCTTTATATTATCAAGTAATATAAAATAATAAGTTGATGACATTTATTATGAAAAAACATAAACTCGTCTTAATTTATAATTGAGAGAAAATCGTAAAATTTCCTCTTAATAAAATGAATGAATTTCTTTCCTTCTTTTCTTTAGAAACGAAATAGACATTCGTCTTATCAAAAACCCCAGAAAGTCCCAACATGTATTCCCCAGTTAGTAAAGCATGTGGTAGGAAATTTTCATATAATCTAAATTTCTCAAAGATTTTACTCTCATCTTGATACAGAAAGTTCTTTCCATTTATGCTTTGCTTTACCATACAATTTACACATATCAGTCAATAACGTCAATTCTCTTCTCTATTTCTCTTTCTCTTGTGCCTTTCCTTTCTAACAACAAACAAATGACAAACATTTTGCACATTTCCAAGCTCGAAATGTGCCAGTCACAGTCTGGCAATCAAGTCAAGYCAAGCCAAGCCAACCCAAGTCAAGACAACCCATGTCTAACCAACCAAGCAACCATCCATCCATCCATCTAGCTAAACTAAACAAACTGACTAAATATTTAATTACTGGCATTTTGTTACAGCGCTCGCGGCTAATTTGCTGTTTAACTGCTTAGCTCCACAGTCTGTATGGAGTATTTTGTGTGAGGTATTCAACTCTGCTCAACTCCCAGTCTGAGTCAGAGAAGTTGGCCCAACTATAGGTCAATATGATCAAATATTCAAACCGTAAACAAAACGGTTTTGTTTATGTCATAGTTTTTGTGTTTGCTTTCAAAACTTTGCAGTTCTAATGGATTACATAAGACTCAGGTAAAGCGAACTTCTATCCACATTCAATCAACTTTGGCGATGCATAGCAAATCAATCTATCAAGTTGTCAGCCAAGCAAACAATTCTCAACTCAACAACAACATTGGACTTTCATTTGATTAAATAATTTAAAGTCTAACTCAGAGAAATATTTATGTATTTTTTATGTACCGCGTACATTGAAGTTTTAAATGACTTTTTGAGGAATATATAATGTTCTTAATTAAAATACAATTGAAGTCTAGCCATATGCGTCTGTCAGATAGCTCGTCGGCTCTGGCTGTACTCGGTCAACATGGGGGTCTAATGGCATTTCTATCTTATCGAATGCTAAGCGCCAACTGATATAAACAAAAATAATAATATTATCGTTATCAAATAGCTGTTGAGCTCATTAAAACAAGTCCCTTTTGAATTGCATCAGCCGGAAGCATATTAATTGATAAATAACAATAATATAATATCAACTTTTCTTCGTTTCTCCTTAGATTTCCCATGCGATCTGCCGTTGACAGTAATCTTTTAGCTTTAGAGAATCTATTGTTAAAAGGCATCTGGTTCATAAAATAAATATATGTATATATAAAAATAAATTTATATAATATGTAAACGATAAAACGTGTCAGTCATAATATTCTTATCTTTTATCTATATTTATCATTAGAGTACAAGTACTTTGTATATTCCCATTATCTCTTTCTCTCTCTCTCTCTCTCTCTCTCTTGCTTACTCTCTAAGTTTCTAATCTGTTTTGAAGTACATATTAATAAGCTGTTTGCTTACATGTAATCTTGTTAAAATATAAATTTAAATCATGTGAAAATCAATATAATATATGAATGGGCAACAATCCGCTAGAATATGCCCATTAATTAATAATCAACTGCATCTTTTGGTACTACATTGATATATATCAGCTTATTTACAGGGTATGCAATCGTAGCAACTGTTTTTGCTATAATAGTACGGACAGAGCGATAACATCGGCAGAGAGCGCGCAATTGGAAGCAACGCTCACGAAATGACAAATTGTAAACGGGTTAATTTCGCAAGTCCCAACAACTTTTATCTATCAGGTATTTTTTATTGAGTGCCCATAGAGAGAGAGAGAGAGAGAGAGAGAGAAGTCATATAAATACTTGCTTGCTCAGTAGCACAAATTTAGTTCCAGCTGCGACTTGCGGGTGGTTAGAAGCGTTCTCTTCGCATTTGTCAGGGTTAAGATCAAGGTCAAAATATGGATCTCATTTTGTTGCTGGCCCTGGTGGGCCTTTTCTACTTCACTTACAAATGGTTAACGGCACGGCACAATGAGTTTGTGGTGCGTGGACTGCCTTTCGAGAAACCCTTGCCCATTTTCGGTAACAATGTCGATGTTGTGATGAATAAGGCCTCATTCCAGAAGCTCGTTGCTGAGTTCTATGCTCGCACGCGACAACAGTAAGTCTTCAAACGTACCCTAGACCTATCTCAAGTATTTGCTGTACGCTCTTTGCTTTGATTGACTTTTAGCAAACTGGTGGGCTTCTTTAACTTTCGCACGCCCATGATACAAGTGAACGATCCAGAGCTAATTAAGAAGATCACCGTCAAGGATTTTGAGTACTTTCCAAATCATCAAACCTTCTTTTCCACCAACGAGCGATTGATTAACGATATGTTGAGCGTGATGAGAGATCAGCGCTGGAAGCACATGCGCAACACCCTAACACCTGTCTTCACGTCAGCTAAAATGCGCACCATGTTCGGTCTGATGAACGAGAGCTTTGCCGAGTGCATGGATCATTTGGATCAGATGTCCAAGACAGCTGTTAATCCCGGCGAGGGCTTCGAGCTGGAACTGAAGGAGGTGTGCAATAGATTGTCAAACGATTTGATTGCAAGCACAGCCTTTGGTCTGAAGGTCAGCTCCTACAAGACGCCAGATAATGATTTCTATGAAATCGGCAGGTCGGTAGCCTTCTTCCGCGGCAAGGCTCTGTACAAATTTATGCTGTCCGCAACTATGCCCACATTGTTCAAGGTATGTTCATCTACTAGAAAGGACATTTGTCTAAAATTGAATTGAATTGAATTCCTTTTGCAGCTTCTCGGTTTCAAAATCTTTGACTCGCAGAAAACAGAATTCTTCATTCGTATCGTTGTCGACGCCATGAAATACCGCGAGGAGAATAATATCGTGCGACCCGATATGATTCAGCTGCTGATGGAGGCCAAAAAGGAGTCCGCGGAACAGTGGAGCGACGATGAGCTGGTGGCTCAGTGTTTCGTCTTCTTCTTTGCGGCATTCGAGAATAACGCCAGCTTAATATGCACCACCGCCTACGAGCTACTCAATAATCCAGATGTGCAGGAACGCCTCTACGAGGAGGTCAAGGAAACACACGAAGCGCTGAAGGGTGAGACACTTACCTATGAGACGGTCACTAAGATGAAGTATTTGGACATGGTTGTATCTGAATCTCTGAGGAAATGGGCCCTGGCCGCTGGGACGGATCGCGAATGTGCTAAGGACTATACCCTCTACGATGACGATGGCACGAAGCTATTCGAGTTCAAGGCGGGCGATCGCATCAATATACCCATTTCGGGTCTGCATTTGGACGACAAATTCTTCCCCGAACCGCACAAGTTCATACCGGAACGCTTCAGCGACGAGAACAAGGATCAGTTAGTGCCCTACACGTATCTGCCCTTCGGCGTGGGTCCACGCAACTGCATAGGTGAGTGAACTAAACGAAATTGGGGAACCCAGTTCAAGAATCCACATTCGATTTTCAACTTTCCTCAATTCCTTTATTATAAACTCCCGCTACATTAATGGACGCATTTCTGTATATTCCAGGTAATCGTTATGCTCTGATGCAGGCCAAGGCCATGTTGTACAATCTCGTGCTCAAGTACAGGATCGAACGCTCTCCCAAGACTGTCAAAGATCTGCTGAGCGATTCGCGTGGTTTCCAGCTGACACCCCAAAGCGGCTACTGGGTGCATTTGGTGCCCCGCAAATAAATCGATTGAAACACAAATTGTTATTCGTTGAGTTTACGTTAAAATACACATATGCATATTGTATATTTATTTATATTCTTATTTTTGATTATGTTTCCATACACACTGACTTTAATACTAATGATAGACTTAAGATCTAACTCCAAGTATAGACAATTGGTAATACTTAAGACTCGTCATATGTATGCGTTCCACACCTATATCTGGCTTAACTTTCCAAATTCTTTCACATTTTATAGACATAATCAATTTTGCAAAAAAATTTAAAAAAAAAGTTTTATTTTATTTTTACAAGTATCATAAAACACAAAAAAAAACTTTCTCAAATATTCTGGACACATTCCGCTTTTATATAACTCTTTCACTTTCACACAGGCCAATGGGCGAAAGCCAAAACATTACATAAAAGCCTAAATATACCTCTAAAAAAAACAAAAGAATCTTTTGCCAACAAAATTAAAGAGATATAAAACTGTATATAAAGAACTGTATATATTAATGTATATATAAGGTATATATATATGTTTGTATATGTTTATCTGTAACTATGTAAATTAGGGTCTCAGATTGGAGGGGGAATTTTCTTTATAAGTTATTGCACATTTGCTATGCGAAAACTTTCGCTCTTTTCTCACTATTTCTTATTGTTTTATACACACATTCTTTTGTTGGCAGTTGCTTTACATCATAATTTATTGTTCGTTGCATTTTAGTTTTTTCGTGGCTGGCAGATTCTTAGCTCTATACTATGATCAATATTTATACAGTAAAGTATGTATAATAATATCTATATGTAAATGCTTGATATACCGTTTAGATTTGTACAAAGTTGTTGATAAAATCAGTGATATCTTATATATATAAATACTCGGAATATTTGTGAGCTGGATAATGTAGTAGGAAAGATAAAAACTAGCCGGATAAAGTAGATAAATATCATGTACAAGAAGAAGAGAAAAGAGAGAAAAGTTAAAAATTGTTGTCTTACCAGCTCACATTACAGCTAATTTAAATGCCCAGAACCCTCAGGGTATAGTCAATATTTCTTGTATATGTGTATGCGTGTCTGTATATATGTATGTAGTATTTATCGATATGTCTATTTACACAATTTGCCATTGAAACTCGATTTCAAACGCTATATAGACGCTGTGCATTGCCCGGACGCGCCTTACCCAGCCCGAAGAAGTTCCAGACGCGCCTCAGGCAGCCCGGCTTCTTCTCGGGCAGCAGACTGAGGCTCTGCTCCTCGAGTATGGTGTCCAGGATGTAATAGCTACTCAGATTCAGCGGCGGCGGCGGCAGCATTGGAGGTGGTCATGATATTGTGCAATTCTTGCTCTCGTGCATAATGGCTGGCATTGTTGCAGACGGAGCGCCCAGACAGCTGCCGGCCGAGCTGCCCAGCTGGCCATTGTTGTCGCCCGACTGGGCGAGCTTCTTCTTGCGCTCGTAGGCCAGCGCGTCGTTGGGCACGTAGGCGACACGCACACCACCGTAATGCTTGCGTGCGGGCAGCCGGTACACATAGTCGTCCATGTCGCTGGAGGAGCTCGAAGAGCAAGTGGAGCAAATGCTCGCCACATCGCAATTGTCCAGATTGTTAAGCAGATTCAGTGCACCGCTGCCGGCTTGGGTTTGGGCATTGTGCAGTCGCAGATTCGTCTGATTAATCTGCATCTCCGAGGAGCTGCGCGATTGATTGCGCCGCCGGCGACGGCGTCTCGCATTCGAGTTGTCCGTGTAGCTCTTCGAGCGGGACATCGTGTCCTGCACGCTGTGGAAGCGCACTTCCTTCAGCGGCGGCCGATTGTCCAGCTGCTGCTGGCCGTGCTCCTCCTTCTCGTTCTGCTTGGCTGCGAAGAGCTGCTCGTAGCCATCGTGCGGCAGCTCCAGCTCACGCACCGACTCATTGTCCAGCTCCAGCTCGTTGCCCAGCTCCTGGGTGCTCTGCGTCATGTCCGAGTTGCTGGGCGAGTTCAGATTGATCTTGTCTATGCTCTGATAGCTATGCGAGTCCTCCGCCTTGGACAGCAGCATGTCTGGCATGGAGGATGTCAGCTGCGTGTCGCCAAAGATCGACTTGTCACCCGAGCAGATATTGTCCAGGCTGATGCCCAGCTCCGTCAGATCTATGGGCGGCGGATGGGCGGGTCGCGGCATGCCAGGCACACAGCCACCCAGCAGCAAATCGGCCACGCCCGCTGCCTCCATACGCTTGCGCTCCTGCCGCTCCAGCAAGTCCCCGGCGCTGCCCGTGCTCTTGCCACCATGTCCATGTCCATGGCCATGGCCATGCCCATTGCCCACCCCAGTCTTGCCACGCCCCGCCGAGTCGGCTGTGCGTCGCGGCGAGCGCGCGATTTGACTGGAAGTGGAGGCGCGATGCGTGGGCCGCAGCTGTGGACCGGAGCTGGTGTCCGAAGGCGTTGGCGGCTCGCCCTTGCTGCACGCTATCGAACAGTAGATGGTGCCACGGCGCGGCAGAAACGGACGACCCAGCAGCGAGCAACGGCACGTGCAGCAGGAGAAGCACTGATCCGTCGCATGCCAATGCTGGCCATCGTGGCTCATCTGGCCCTGATCCACACCAATGACCTCGCCGCAGTAGTCACAGTACTCGGCGAACATGGTGTCAAAGCAGCCCAAGCAATACGGCTTGCCCTCGCGCATTATGTAACGCTGGCCGCCCAGCTGGTGCTCGCACTCCTGGCAGGCGAAGTGCTTCATGTGCCAGGTGCGACCCTCGGCCTCCGTGCACTCATCCGAGAAGATGATCTGTGTGGTGGATGAGAAGAGCAAGCGAGATGGTAGCGAGTGAGTAAGAGTGAAATATGAAAATCAAGAAAAATATCTAAAATATATATAATTATTTATATATAGAGCGAATATTATAATTCTAATTTCAAGTTGAGCCTGTTCCAGCACTCAATCAGTTATTCAGCTTCGTTACTCACCTCATCGCAAGCGGAGCAGCGCGGCTTCTGGGTCTCGGCATGATGTCGGCCACAGTAGAGATTGCCATCACGATGGAAGTATATCAAGTCCATGAGCAGCTCCTTGCACACACTGCACACAAAGCAGCCGGGATGCCAGCAGACTTGGGCGCCCAAGCGCTGGGCAAAGACCACAATGTCACCGCCGGAGAGCTGTTCATTGCACTGCAATGAGAAGAGAGAGAGAGAGAGAGACATTAGATATATATCGTATAAATAACAAAAATATGCTAAAGTTCTGCACGGGGAGACAGCGTGGCGATAGAAATCTGCAGCGTCTGCTTTGGTTGGGCAAAATATTTAAGCGACTATAAATGCTAAATAACGGTAATAAAACGCTTAAGCCCCCCAAGCGAGGACATGGCACAGAACCAGCACGAGAACAGAACGCCGAGCACCCCCTTCCTCAACCATCCCTCCCTCGCCCGCGCCCTCACTCTCACGATTACTTTGTGGTTTTGCTTTTTCACAACGGAAATAATGCAAAAATAGCTGCCGGCCATGTGCCCGGCCTCGTCGCAGAAGTGCTCCCTAGAGAGTGGAAAAACCAGAGACTTTAAACTGTTTGGATAAAACACGGAGCACGAAACACGAGAAAAGGCCGCAAGCAAAATTCTGGTGTCGGTGTCGCACTCGCAATACGAGTAGGAGTCAAAGTTGGAGCAGGAGTCCAAGTAGGAGTTGCTGCTGCTGCTGCTGCTCTGGCTGTTGTCACGGAACCAACCCAAACGGAAGCGCAGTTTTAATGACTCAACCTCAACTCGTTAAAGTTGAAGCAATTCGCATAATGAACTCATTTACGTAGAGCAAGCAACGTAATAGGGTCAAGAGAGCTAATGTCTTCGTACGCCGCTTAAGGAGAATATGTTTGCTTTCCCAGAAAGAAAACTTCCCTGAGGGATATAGGATTCCTAGTTACTTGGAACTGAAGCAAATGCGGAAGAATATGCGGTAAACAGGCTAATGCGATGGCGATGTAGTATGAGAGCGTTATTAATAGATTCAACAGTATAAGAAAAGTGGGCTTAAATAATACAAATGTTGCCAAAAAATCGACATTGAATACATCACATTGAAATATATAAAATTGGATCTACCGCGAGCAACTTTTTTGGCTCTAATACTTATAACAAATTGATCTCTCTAGTAGCTAAAAATAGAAACATTTAAGCTAACAAGATAATTTGAAATTCCGTTATATTATAAGCTCCTGAATTTCTGTAGCATTTTGAAGATTTATAACTTCTTACACTGAAAAAAAAACTAGTCCACTTCTTGGATGTATCAAATAACAAATTTCTTTTCGACTAATGAAAGCTTCTGAGCTGCAGATTATGAAGTTCATAATTGAAATAAGCTCTTAATTGCACTGGAAAAAATTAGGCATTCGGAAATAGTATTACTATTATGCTAAGCCCATGAGAATCAGGTTGTAAGTAGAATACTCTGCTAATATCATTCCCACGAATACATTAGTTGGCATATCTGACAAATATAGGGAATTCCATTAGATATCTCCATTTCTAATAAGTTCTAGCTAACTTTTTAATAAGTTCTAGCCAAGTCAATGTCTTTGTTGTAGCCGAATATCCAACATTTTATTTCATTTCGGAAACCTATTTGCCACGTCTTAGAACCTTTGAGAAGGAAATCCCCCAACTTCGTTCCATTTTATGAGCATGCAAAGCAATTAACGCAATTGCCCTGATTTATGAATGCTATTTCGGTGGCCCACGCCAAAAAAGTTGTGGCACATGCGAGGCGGCAGCCATTTTGCGGCCAGCCAGCCCTTAGGCCCCAAACCCTTTTGTTAGTCGCTGAGCTTTTAGCTACGACAAAAGCCGTCGCCAATTTGCGCCATTTTCGTTTCAGCTAGCGTTTCCTGTACTGGTTTGCTCACCCCCCCCCCCCCCCCCCCC